GCCGACGCTTCGGGCCTAGACCCTTCTTCAGAAATCTGAAGAAGGTACTGGACCTGAAGCGTCGGCTTTCCTGCTCCTCTGATACTGCTTGGCCTGCTGTGTTCATCCTGCTCTTCACCTTGTTATCTAAGCTTATTCTGTAGCAGGCTTTGCTCAACAGAAAAATCCAAACATGAACTCTAAGCTTGCAAACACTGATCAAACAGAACAGCAATTATACTCAGTCATAAAAATGTCATCAGTTTTCCTTGATGTGAATTTAAGCAAGCAAGACCAGCAATCAATTGAAACCATGCACTTCCCAAAAAGTTTTGTTTAGCATGCCTGGCTAGCTGAGTCAGGACAGCATTAGACTCTTGATCTCAGGGTTGTGAGTTTAGGTGTCATTAATTTTAAGACCAGTCATTTTAACTTCCGTGATTCAAAAGTTTCTAGAAACAATTATCTTGGATAATATTACTAGTCACGTGAAAAAAGGTAGGTTTATGAGGAAGAATCGGCATAATTTTCTGAAGGGAAATTGTATTCTACTAACTTGCTTGAGTTTTTGAAAAAGTAACAGAAGGGTCAATGAGGGTAATGCTATTGAAGTGGTGAATGTAGACTTCCAGCACATCTTTGATACAGTGCCACGCAACAACCTCACGAGAAGAGTTACAGATTATGGAATAAATGGGGCAAGAGCAAAATGGACCCAAAATTGTCTGAGTGATAGGAAATAGAGAGTAATGGGCAATTGTTATTTTTTGGGCTGGAAGAGATTTCGTAGTGGAATTCCCCGGGGGCAGTACTGGGACTCTTACTTTTGTGATCCTTATTACTGATGTAGATCTTGGTGTTCAGGGGACAGTTTCAAAATTTCACATGATACAAAACTTGGAAGCATACTAAACTGTGAGGACGATAGTGTTGAAATTCAAAAGAATTTAGACAAATTGGTGGAATGGGCAGATAAGAAGCAGGTGACATTCAAAGTGGTATAATTCTAAAGGAGGCACTTGAGCAGAGGGATCCTGGTGTGTACGCACACACATCATTGGCAAGATAGGTTCAGACAGTGGTATCCTTGGCTTTATTAATAGGGGTAAAGAGTACAAGATCAAAGAGGTGATGCTGAACTTGCCAAGAAGGGTCCTGACCTGAAACGTCAGCTTTCCTGATCCTCAGATGCTGCCTGGCCTGCCGTGTTCTTCCAGCTCCACACTGTGTTATCTGTTTTGCCAAGATACTTATTAGACTTCAGTTGCAGTTTTGTGTAGAGTTCTGGGCACCACACTTTAGGAAGGGGATGAATGGAGAGAGTGCAGAAGAGATTTACAGGAATGGTCCCAGGGATAAGAAACTTCAGTTATGAGGTTGGATTAGAGAGATTGAAGCTGTTCTCCTTGGAGAGAAGAAGGTTAAGAAGGGATTTGCTGGAGGTTTTTCAAGTCATGAGATACAGTAGATAGGAAGAAACTGTTCCTATAGATAAAAGATCAACAACGAGAGGGCATAGATTTAATGTGATTTGCAAAAGAAGCAAATGCAACATGAGAAAAAACTCTTTCACACAATGAGCACTTTCTGGATGTGTGATGGAAGGAGGTTCAATTGAGTGTTTGAGATGGCATTAGATGATTGTTTGAAACAATGTCCAACGGTGTGGGGAAAAAGGTAGGGGAATAACACTAAGTCATGATGCTCATTTGGAGAGCCAGTGCAGACACAATGGGCTGAATGGCTTCCTTCTGCACCATTACACTTCTTAGATTCTGTGAAAAAGGTCCAACGTGTTTTCTCATTGAATCTTTTTCAAAAGAATAATTCTTCCATCTCCATAACCTTTCAAATTTAAATGTACAAAAGTTAAGAGGCATCTTCATCGTAATGTCAAAATGTTTAAAAAATTCCAGGTGTAAACATTCATTTCAGCAACTTTCATGGTACGAATGGAACATGAAGCAGTAACATCAAAACTGGAGAATTCAATATGAGTGGCAATGCAAGATCATCCAGATACGGGGCAGAAGCGTCAATATGAAAGAAGGATCATAACGAAAAGGAAGGATAATAAAGATACCTTTGACAAGTTATGACAGACAACAGGAAATGTGATACTATGATAGAAGGATGAACTCCAGAAATACCCAGGTAATGGTTAACAGGTGTTTTAGATGGGATTCTAAATATATGATGAGTTGCCCTAAACGGAATAATAAGATTTTCAAACTGACACACAGCACAGAAGGTTCAAAAGAAAGAATGTGATACTGATGCTTTTTGACCGGAGTAAATTTTTCCTGAGTGCTATGAAAGATCTGCTTAAATGTCTACCACCGCTCATTTACTGGCCTTTCCCTTTTTTTACATAGGCACCGCCCATTTTAGACAACTCTTTCTTCATAAGTCAGGAATTGCCTTTTTTTAAAAATTGAAGACATTAGGTTAAGACCTGCTTTGCTCGCCCTCAAGCTGAATTTCCAATTCTATCGTGTTGTGGTTCCTGTCCCCTAAAAGTTCCTTAACTAGACGATCTCTTATAAATTCTATCTTATTACACATTCCAAGCTCTAAGATGACCTGTCCTCAGGAAGATTCTGCAATGTACTGCTCTAAGAAACAATTTCTGATGCTCCCTGTAAATTTGACTTCCATGATACCCTTGCCCATCTGGTCTGTCCAGTCAATATTCAGATAAGAATCACCCATTACAATTGTAGCAACCTCCTTAAGCACCTCTATTATTTTCTGTTTCATACTTGTCTTACAGTGAGACAATTCTTTGGGGGCCTGTAGACAACTCCCATTCAGAATTTCTTTCCCTTGTCATTTTCTTATTCTCACTCAAACTTATTCCACATCACAATCTAATATACCAATATCACAACTCTTCACCATGTAAATTCCTTCCTTTATTAACAAAGCTATCCCACGTCCTTTTTCTTCTTGCCTACTTTTCTGGGGTGTACAATACACTTCTCGGTCCTGGTCTTTCTCCAACTATATCTTTATAAATGGCTACCAAGGCAAACTCATTTATTTCCATTTGTGCCGTCAATTCATCTATCTTGTTACATTTGTTGTGTGTATTTAGATAAAGAGTCTTAATCTTTAACTTATTACCATTTTTACTTATTCTGGTTACGATTTCTCCTGTATTCTTTTTGTGTTTTGTGCCTTTCCTGTGACATTTTAATTATCATTCACTTCTTTGCTGCCCAGCACCTTTGCTCTCTCATTTCTTTTTAAACTTTCCTTCAGTTGTACCCTTGCCTTCCCAAAGCTATATCTACAACCATAGTTATATAATTTGCCAGGACTCTGGTCCCAACATGGTTCAAATAAAGCCTATTCCAAAGGAACAGCTCCCTCTTTCCACAGAACTCATGCCAGTTCCCCATGAATAGGAACCCATTTCCTCATACCAATCTTTGATCCGTGCACTCACCTCTGTAATCTTATTTACCCTATGCCAATTTGCACATGATTTAAGTAGTAATCTGTGTGATTATTACCTTTGTGATTCGCCTTTCTAATTTAGCTCTGAGCTGCTCTTACTTCCTTAACAGGAACTCCTCCCTATTCCTATCTGCGTCATTGGTATTTACATGGACCACAATTGGATCGTTCCTCTCCCACTCCAAGTTCCTCTCCAGCACAGAAGAGATGTCCTGAACCTTGGCACCTGGTAGACAACACATCCTTCGGAACTCTCTGTCAATGCTGCAGAGAACAGTACCTATTTCCCAACCTATACCATCCTCATGCTACAACATTTCTCTTTTCTCTCCCCACTTGAATGGTGTTCAGTACTGTAGTGCTTTCATCAGTTCACTCATCCTCCCTGCAGTCTCTGCCCCTTGTCCACATTTGCAGCAAAAGCATGTACCTTGTATGTTCTGGATAAGGACACTAGCTGAAGGTCCTTGTAAGCGACATTCTTGATCCCAACAACTGCCTCACTCACACTTACACCCTCCTGTCTCTGTCCATGGCCAAATTTGATGCAATTAATCTGAGGGGTGTGATTGTCTCCTGAAATACAGTTTCCAGGTAATTATCCCCCTTCCTGATAAGAGTCAGAGTGTCTGCAATTCAGGCTTCAGCTCATTATCTCTTCTTGAGCTGCCAACACTTACTGCAGATATGGTCAATGTGGATTGCGTTAGCATCAACCAGCTACAACATACAGCAACTCCAGCACATCACCTACTCAACCATCTATTTATTTTAATAACTTGAATGTTAAATATTTTCTAACTAGTCTTCAGCTGTAATATTGTCTCCATATATGCACCACTTGATCAATCAAAAGAGATGAGAAAATACTGTTAATTTGTTTTCCTATGATGCCACACATTGGGTCTGAGAGGATAAAGGGGCTTTTGCTTCCATTTTTGTCTGCCATCACCATTGCCCTTCTCACCAAGGTCAGCTCTCCCAGTCTGCTTCACAGTGATCTTGATTTGCTGCACATACTCCTCCTCGTCTGCTCCACAGTAATACTGATTTGCTGCATAGTCCACCCAGTTTCATTTAGTTTCATTTCATTCAGTTACATTATTATTATTTTAATAAAACCTGAGCTACAAGCAGAACACCAACTTTTGGTAGATTTGCTCTAACTTAAGTGCAAACACTTAATCATTTTAATTTCTTTTCTGTGGAAAACTGATTTTAAAACAATCCAATATTGTGATGGCACCACTAATATGTTTGCATTTGGTTACCTGCCCAAAATCAAACCTTCTGTTCTCTTTGACAGGAAACTGTAAAAATAAGCTTTTAACTAGCAAAATGGGCAATTGGACTGATACAGTGTATTAATGTGATGTACTGTGTTTCTCCATTCAAGTTTGCAACAGAAGGCTGTAGTCATGGATTCCTCAAATGCTTCCAATCTACAAAAGCAAAATACTGCGGACGCTGGAAATCTGAAATAAAAATAGAAAATGCTGACCAGAATCATTGACTTTGTTTCTCTCTCCTCAGGTTGTGCCAGGCCTTCTATGTACTTCCCGTATTTTCTATTGGTGTTTCAAGTTGACACTGTACAATGGGAGATGCTGAACAGAATCCACTACCTTCCTAAAAGAATACAGCAAATACTCTTGGAATGCTAGTAATAAACTTACAACAGTTGAGGCATTTCAAATGGACAACTGGCTATTACATTAACCAGGAAAACAAAAATAACTTGCGAAATGTACCAATGTAAAAACAGGAGTAGAGAGGAAGAGACAAAGAAGAGAATAAGCAAATTTCTCACCCAATCTCCACACAGTAAAATGCAACTTGTTGGAAGATATTTTGACAGACACATACTGTACTTTATTTGCTGACAGAGTGAGGATTTGTAGGCACCAATCAATAAAACAGTGAAGAATGAATAATACTGACTGTCTTCAAATTCTCAAAATTTATGGATCAATTCCTCAACTAAAGTAAATAAGTAAAACATTTGGCCACCAAATTCATTGAAGCAGATGGATAATTGACTTCATGTTAAAGTAAAACAGGATAAGGATAAGGATAAGAGAAGCCCAGGTAGACAAATGATCCATGCTGCATTGTTGACCTTTAGATTCAGCATTTGAATTTCAATAATCAATGAAGGTTCTTTGCTTCCTGGTCAGAATGAAATGTTGCTGGTAAGTTTCTTAGCTTTCCTCTTTCATTTCAAGCGTTAGATAATTTTCCTTGTATACTTAAACTTATGAGAAGATATGGATACTACTTTCTAAAGCTGATAGAAATTGAACATTACAGGCCTGTAATTTCGACAGCACCAGTTATCACATACTATCTAGTTCTCTCAATGTATAAATGGATGTTTCTTTGAGTATTTCTCTCAGTGGTACATCAGATGTCTGTAAAGCTAATTAAATTTTTTGCCAGCTGATGCCATTTGTTCGGAGAAGCTCACAACTTCATATCACAGAATCACAACTTATAGTATCAAATATAGTGATATCCGTGATAGCAGAAAATAAGGGAAGGTAAATAATATTTGCACGCCAAAATGCTCTTGAAAGCTAAATTAATTTTCTGACCAAGAGTTCAATAAAATGCAGATGAAGACAAAATTCATTTGTCTGGCTGTGGAGGGAAAGGAGAATGACCTTGCATACCGGTCATAAATGTGAACATTTGAGATTGCACAGGAGCAACACAAACACAAAGGAGCTCAGGGGAAGTGTAAGCAGGATCAGTACATGCTCAAGGCTATCAAAAATGATCATTTCTGTCAATCCAAATCTGAAGCGGAAGGCCAAAACAAGAGAAAAATGATAAATAGCACTGCCATGCACTCAAACTGTTGTGGAATTAAGCGTTAAGTTATTATGAAATAATAATTTGAGTCTTATATTTATACAATTTGTAATATATTTAATCTAATGCTCCTTGAAATAAAAGATAGATTGTCACTATCGACAGTTTTTAGGCAGGTGGGACAAACAGACTTGATGTCATCAACCTGAGGATTGGTCTATTTTGATTGTTAAGCCTGATTTGCATTTCCTGTGCATTGCACTGACATGAGGCAGGCCACCAAACTGGGTGGTGGAATACCCAATGGCCATTCAAAGAGTGATAGCACCTTTTAAGCTATCATTCAATTCTGTTTAATGATTAGTAAGCTGCAAGCAAGATCACTAGATTCTCTGACAATACCCCAATATTATCTCCTTCCTTTAATATCTATTGATAGGAAATGGATTAAGTCTTTGGATCAAGCATGGGGGAATGGCAATATATGGATGATGCTTTCAAATCATCTGTTTCTGTGCTGTACCATTTCATGTTCAAATTTGGTTACGATCCACTCTAATTTAATTTTGTTGAGCATGTATATTCTTATCTGTCCAGATCAGTTATTTCAGTAGCTCCCAATTATAGTCCATGAGAACCAATGCTCTCTCATTTTCATTATCCAGTAGCTGTATAGTATTAATAGTTAACAG